GAGCAGGGAGCCCGATGCGGGACTCGATCCCGGGACTCCAGGATCATGACCTGAGCCGAAGGCAGTCGCCTAACCAACTGAGCCACCCAGGCGCCCAATACATAGAATCTTTTAAAAACAAAACAAAACACAACATACTGACTTGGAATACAATTTCCCATTTTACAATTATGGGCCCCTTGATTTGAGAGTACTATCAATCATTCTTTTTGATGCTAGATCATTGACAAGCATGCAGCCCTCCACTTTGGCCTTGTTATTAAGCAAAATTGCAGCATATTCTATGACAGTATATTAATGTCAGATATGGGAACACTAAAGGAAAAAACAACCTGGTGATTTCATAGCTACACACATTTACTGTGTTTTAACCTATAGTTGATCAGTTTTAATAGGTCCCTAATGAAATCTATGTCTTTAACTTAAAAAACATCCAATAAATTGTCCGATTTCTATTTACATTAAAACTTTATACTTGGTTGGATTTACTGAGGAATTTTGCCCTCTCCCTACCAGATTCTCAGGGAGGCTGTCTTTTTTTCTTTTCTTTTCTCTTGCTTTCCTTCTTTCTGTCTGTCTTTTTTTTCCCCTCAGAAACTACTTGGCATTTTAGGAATTAATTTCAAGTGAGCCTAAGTTTTTCTATGTAATTAAGAATAAATAAAATATTATGAAATTGTAAATTCAAGAGAATAAAATTGTGCCAGTCACAGTTTCCCTTCTCAGAACTTGTAGATCCTGGTCATATATTTAAAGGATGGGTCTATATGAATTAAAGTTTTCCCAAATGATTCTGCTCCATTTATCCTTCCTATCCTCTACATCCACTTCTTTGGTCTATATTAGTGTTACAACCATTTAAAGCAGCTAGGAAGCACAAACTCCAGGGAGCCCAATAAATTCAGATATAACTCTGAAAGGAGGATTTTTTAGAAACCTGTATCTCAAGATGATAAAACTTCTTGAAAGAAGAGAGGGACAGGAATTAGACTGCATTCCCTTTAAAAATAAGTTCGATTTATTGCAACTTTTATTCTCATTATTATAAATACTAAGATTTACACACTTCTCTTTCTGATCTACATATTTAAATAAAGCTGCTCAAAATTCCACTTGCTTTGAAAACAAAGTGTTTGTTTTAATGATCTAAACAATGAATGTGTATAGTAAAGCATCTTTCATATTTTTATTAATTTTATTTCCACTTGTTAATATTGCTAACATTTAAAGCCAAGTTAATGGAACACCAATGAGAAAATCAAAGCTATTTATATTAAGCATTTTAAAGTATTTTAAAATACAGTCATGCTCAGATAGAATTGAAGAATCCCAGAATTAAAATTGCCTTCATGAAAATGAACAGGTTATAGCTGAGAACATGGAAATAGCCATAATACATTTTAGTGAAGTGTTTTATCCTTCATGGATACTTTATTTTCCATTTATCCATAAATGAATGTTCACATTAAAAATATCCATCAATACTCAGCTATAAAAATGAATGCGTGAATAATTTGTAAGTGAATATATACATGGCCAAAGTTTAATTTGGCTCTCCATTCGAAAAAAGTAGTGTCGGTGGATATTGGGCATTATCACTCAATTCATGCTTACATTGTTTCAGAGGTTTATAATCAAAGGAAAAAACTCTGATTTAGCTGAGGAATGCACAATGAAATGTATTTAGATTAAAAAACAACTATATATTCTATAAAGATAAGCATAACCATGCCAGAGCCTCACTCATGTATTCTCTAACCATATGGGGAGAATTACTGTATTAAAAAACAAAACAAAACTAGTATCAAATGCACAGGCCCTAGCTCCCCCCACATACCCTAGGATAAGCTTTGATCACAAAACTCCTGATCCTCATGCTTGCTCTTGGCAATGGAAACAATTTTTAAAGCTTATCTCCAAGATCACTTTGGTGATTTCCCAAAAAATTAGGTGGTGGTGAATGCATGTGAAGTCCTTATAATCGACGGATATGCCAAACTATTTACAGGAATGTAATGACCAAAGCCTAAATTTAATTCTCCTCTTAATGAGAGAGGCATTTGGGAAACTATCAACCAAGAGGCCTTACACTCTAGTGTGGTTTTCTCAGCTCCTATTTTAAGAATCTAGAGAACTCCAACACTCGTGTTCCTTAGAGGTACTCTAATAGAACTCCACTTTTACCATCATCTTTGAACCTCCTCTCATTTTTTTAAAAAAGAGAACATCATAACAATTTACAACAAAGATATAACACTGACAGTGTCCAAACATAGAACCTGGCAGAGACAATATACGACACGCACCTAAAACTATATTTCTGGGATGTTTTTAGTCTGGCAATTATTAATAGTACATATTTAAGACCATATCTTCAATATGAACCGTTACTCAATTTGCTAGATAATAATTCTTTTCCCACAATGAGTGAATACAAGCACTGTTCATCAATGTTTTTCATCCACTTAGGGAACGTTAACACTTTTGTAGAGCATAAAGAAAAAATCAATTCTTTCTGTATTTAATTTCAGTGTTGGTAGATCTAAACATTTCAGTGTTAACTTCATACTTCATAAATGCTGTGAGGCAGAGAATAAAATGGTTAAATGTAACTTTTTTCACCTGTATTTAAAAGAAATTACTTTGGCGGTTTCCATCCTAGTTTGTAAATCACCAAAACTAAAGTAACTACAGTTCTATTTAATATTGTGTCAGGAAATGGACTTGATTAAAATACAGATAAAAATTGTCCTTTTAATAAGGTAAAAATTGGTCTTTTCTTCTGATTTAGTTTGTTCTTGGGAGTGAAACATCTGGATATAAATGCCAGGAAATCATGGCTTTATGGTTTTAACTAGCTCTATTCCAAACAGGGCATACAAATAAAAAGTAAGGGGAAAAAATCAAAATAACAATATTTTCCAAGCAAAAAATTACTACATAAACATTAGGCATGAGATTAGGCTCCCATTACAAACAATGATAGATTATATTTAAATAAAATATTATTAAAGTTATTAAAATATTCCATCTTTAAAATATGAATCACAGAACTTAGAAATTCAAAATCCTAATGGGATACAAGTAAAATAAATAAGATTAAAGTAAAAATATATAATAGTATTTTACTATACTGAATTTTGCAACTAATCTCTTTTACATACAGTGAAGTAATTAACATGAAAGCTGCTACTTTATGAATCTGTAGAATAGTTACAATGCTTTTACATTTTAACCATTGGTTTCTCTGCATTTTAAATTTAAACTTCATATTACTTAAGTGCAATAGATTATATTGGATTCAGTTAAACTTCTTATGATTTTTGCCTGGTAAATAAAACTTATAAGTAAAGATAGCCAACCCAATAAACCAGATTGAAGAGGGCAAAAGCTGTTGGGAAAAATATTCGAGAATAGGAGTCAATTTTAGCAATGCGTATGTGTATCCTTCCTTCCCTCCATGACCCTGTTCTGCAGTCTTCAAAGCAACAGAAGAAGCTGGTACAGTCTTTGCCCTCCAAACACTGATACCCATAATCCTCTTCTCCATGTGGCAGAGAAATGCTATTCATTGGAATCAGAGTGGATCCAGGATGGAGTCCAGGGGACATCTGAGTAAAATAATAAATGAGCTTTTGAGAAAAAATATCATAAAGAAAGATCAATTTGTCTCCTCAAGGCAAACTCTAAAAGACTGATATGCAATAAAAATAATCTTAGTCTACAGAAATCAAAGAGGTGTTCAATCCTAATGCGTTTTTAGATTATAATTTACTTTGTAAGACATAACTTAATATTATTTTCCATTTCAAAGACCATGCAGGAAAAAACCCTCAAATATGCAATATATTTATAGCTTTAGAAAATCAACCTACCAAAATATTGTTAAACATGAATCTAATTCTAAAACAAAAATAAACTCTGTATTTCTCTATTTTAAACTAAAACATTCACAATGCTATAAGTATCTGCTTGCTATTATTATATTATGTAATTTATTTATTTTAGTTATAATAAGAACAAAGAGCAAAGATGACATTTTGATAATGCAGAAAAGCTTTGAGGAGCTGTGAATGAATAAAAAAGACATGAGTTGGGTTTATAGCAGTGGATAAGGCATCATATTTTGGAGACAGAATATGCAGGAGTTAAAAACTCAGGTTTGATGGGGCGCCTGGGTGGCTCGGTGGCTAAGTATCTGCCTTCAGCTCAGGTCATGATCCTGGGATCAAGCCCACATTGGGCTCCCTGCTCGGCGGGAAGCCTGCTTCTCCCTCTCCCGCTCCCCCTACTTGTGTTCCCTCTCTCGCTGTGTCTTTCTCTGTCAAATAACTAAATAAAAGTCTTTAAAAAAAAAAACAAACTCAGGTTTGAGAACAACTGTGCCCAAAATTTGACTCATTCTACCAATATAGCTATCCTCACAGCTGGAATTATATTAGCACCTAATCTTTGTAATGGCTTTGATGAGTAAGTTTCATGTCTTATTTAAATGATGAGTGCCCCATCTTGTCCAATTATAATAGTTATTATTATCAGGATTATTTGAAACACATATCAAATTAACTTTTTATGATGCCAGGTTCTGACTAATACTTTTAATAATAAAAAGATTTTTTAAAAAAATATTTAAAAATCAAGCAAGTCTAGGATACCATGAAACACTAAAGCAATCACTTTGGAGTCAGACAGGCTTGGACAGAAATTCCAGCTCTGCCCAGGAGAGTTACATCATTCTGAACAGAAAATGTTAGTGCTCTTCTTTCTATCTCTGTGTCCTCTCCTATACAAAAGTCACAATAATACATAGATCCATTTGATAATTAAATGAGATGATGTACATAAAGCACAAAGCAAAACATTTGAAACAGAGCAAGTATTCAGCATAGGTAATATTACTGTTGTCATTGTCATTGCTAGTGGTGATGCTTGAAGAAGAAATACCACCATTTGGTATAAAATACATGCTAAAACAAGCAACAATAACAACAACAATATGGACCTCATAAAAAAATGCTACTGGAAAAAATACTTAATGAACTCTTGAATAAAATGGCAATTAAAACATTAATGAAAACTACAGTTTTAGTAACTCTCCCTTCAGAATTTCTGCATATTTTAGGGGTTATATTAAAATGTAAGTCTTAACAACTTGTTATAATTGGTGGCTTTATTATCTAAACACTAAATATAATGCTGAGATTATAAAAATTATTTTAACCTGATCTTAAATTCTTCCTGATGAAAATGTTTACAACAGTTTTTTCATCCTGCATTTTGAAATAGAGAAATTTCAAAGCCATGCAAATTAAACATTGTATGGAAAAGTTTTTAAAAACACAAAAAAGAATTTTTAAATATTTGGACCTATGTTCAAATCCATTTTGTTTCGAATCCAAGCTATTAAATATTAAAATTCAGTAGATGTAAAAGTAGCAAATAACCATATTTAGTGATATTTTAAAAGATAAGTGCATCACACAAGTCATAATATTAGAAACAAAATGTGCAGCCTGAAGATAAGGAGCAATGCCCTAAACACAAATAAATTCATGACTCCACTTGTCTGGATGTATCCTAAAGAGCAGAAGCAGTATATTATTAAATGTTAATGACATATCTTTTGAGCTTGACACTTGGGGATACTTGACTAGACTCCGAAATTTTAGTGGAACAGTAAAATTATGTACAAAATGAGGCAAATTGGTATTCATTTCCTTGTCACTTAATACTTAAATAGTGTATGTTCAAATGCTAATCAGAATGAAGTGATTAAAATACAAGTTTGTTAGTTGGCAATTTCAAGGTTATATGGCACAAAATACATTCCACATATCACTCAGCACTGCCATAAATAGGAAGACTATGTGTTTGTTGGAAGATACCAATTGTGCATGAGGGGGATGATTAAACATTAAAGTGTCCAAAAGTGGAGAAAAACTGCAAGTGGTTCATTTTAAAACTGGACTAATTTCTGGTGGTCAAAATCATGGAGAGCTTCTACAGCAGTGACACTTTCCAGTTTCCTACTACCCCCTCAAAACACCACAAGCTCATATAGTAAAAGAAGCTACACTTTAATGAATGATGGATGTGAATAGAAATAGACTTTATAGATGCTGAGAAAAATATCCCAAGAGCTGACACAGTAGCAATAAAATAAAATATTTTGACACATAGATTGTGACCTGGAAACCACTAAAAGAGTAATCAGAAGAATATACACATTCCAAACCTTATTTATCTGAAGTGCAGCTGTTTTGTTTTACCCATCTTATAATTTCTCAAGTAAAACTCCTATTTTATACCAAAATAGCAAGTATTGAAAAAATAAAAAATAAATCAGTTTAAGTAATATAAAAAGAAACTACATACTAAGATTTTCTTTTACTTTAAATAATATAATTTTGAGAATATACCATTTTGTTGTTATTTGAAAAAGTCACTAAGAATATAGCTGAATTTAACATTATGAGAAATTAATCCCATTCTCATTATTAAAGATATGTTTGTCTGCTTATATATTAAATACTACATTATTTATATATTAAAGATTTATTTATTATTTGGGGGGGGGGCTCAGAGCAGAGGGAGACCGAGAAAGAGAGAGAGTTTCAAGCAGATTCCCTCAACAGCGCAGAGCCCAACATGAGGCTCAGTCTCATGACTCAAGATCATGACCTGTGCAGAAACCGAGTCAGAGACTAAATCAACTAAGCCACCCAGGTGCTCCCCCCTATATTTTTTAAAGATTTATTTATTTATTATTTGAGAGAGAAAATAAATATTACATTATTTATATGTTAGTGATAGAGTTAAGTATACAAAATATATTTCAAGCACCAAGATACACTAATGCCAAAGAAATGTTAAGTAGTAAATAAAATATTTATGTGCAAATTATATTTATGTATGTGCTTATATATTATAATTATTATTTGTATCATATACTAATATCAATTTTACTAAATATTAGTAATATGAACATCAAACGTTATTAGGTCATGTTACTGATATTATGAAATACTGACTAATATTACTGTTATTAATTTCCCATTTAAAACTTTGCATGTGAGAATGCAAGCCTGAGCACAGGTTTTCTCCACTCCACTTTTATAAAAGCCCATTGAAGTATCAAGCAGGATTTCAAAAACTACAAAATCCACATCAGTGTTAAAAACAGTCATGAAGTGGATCTTGGTGATGCGGAGCAGCCAATCAGCATGTCAGAATTCATACTAAGTTCTTGAAAGACAATCAGGTGAAAATAGACCAACAGATAAGGTAGACCAAAGGAAGCCCCGTTTCAGAAGAGGCTCAGAAAATGGAAACCTGGGTGTGGGAGCTATTGTTCCCACCCAAGACACTTCAGAAACACTCTAATGCAGGACAAATGGAAACAATAAGCAGGATGGAACACATGGCGGTAGTTAAATGTCCATTTCCAGAATAGCTACAGCTGTTTGAACCGCTGTTCATCTGTGCATATAGAAAAGTAGAGATGCTGACAGGTTGGTGTCTGCTCATGTGTAGAACTCTGTAACTTCTAAAAATATTTATTTATTTATTTATTTTATTTGAGACAGAGAGAACGAGAGAGAGAGCACATGAGAGGGGGGAGGGTCAGAGGGAGAAGCAGACTCCCCGCCGAGCAGGGAGCCCGAAGCGGGACTCGATCCCGGGATTCCAGGATCATGACCTGAGCCGAAGGCAGCCGCTTAACCAACTGAGCCACCCAGGCGCCCCTGTAACTTCTAAAAATAAATAAACAGATAAATTCATGCCACTCTAGGGAGGACTAGGGCTCATGAAGTTGTTATTGGAATGTTCTAGTGATACCCTCATCATCTTTTAGAGTGTATGTGTGTATGTCTGGAAGCAGTAAGATGTCATGCTCCCCTTGCACACACATGATAATGAAATGTGACAGTTGCACACTCAACAGTTACATACAGGTCAAGCTTGCCGGGCCTACTGGAGAAAAATCACCAAGAACTTTCAAGGTAAACTAACAGTATAAAGGGAAAACATGAAGACAAACTGATTCTGAATTACTGATTCTAGTAATTTAGGAAATATAAAGGAATATTAAACTTTTGAATTAGTTCACTCAGAAATACTTGAAGAGATGTTGTGTCTACTTAAGGAAAACAAGTGGGAGAGCAGTTAGAAAATGCGAGCTCTCAGAAATTCAAGGAGTTATTGTAAATTTAGAAAAAAACCTAAAACATTGTAAAATAAAATCTTGAGGAGGGAAGTTGCCCCCAATATATAGACAAAAATACTTCAATAAAAAATATGATAAAAAAAATCTGGAATACGTGGATAATTAACCAAAGAGGTCTAAAATCTATCTAATAAGAACTTTAGAGGAGAAAAAAGAAGTAAATTGAAAAAAAGAATCAAGAAAATTCTCAGAAATGAAAGATAGGAATATTAAACAATGAGGAAATGATTAAGGTCAAAAAAAAAAAAAACCAAAGTGTACTGATTCTTAAGAAATTTTAACCCCGTGGAGAAAGTGATGAAGATGAACATTTTCAGGTAGGAAAAGAAAAAGCTTTACTGACAAAGAAATAATAATCAGATTGGCATTATAATTATGGAAATAATGAATTAAGAAGTAGCTATT